CCTGGATCTGAAAAGGTTGAAGACTCTTGGTTGACAATCATCCATTGGAGTAATCCACTGGGGAAACTTTTTATCAAAGGGAATCGCTGCATATTTCAGGGAAGCAGGTTTTTGTTTGTTTGTTTGTTTAAATACACATACATACTACTCCTGTTTTCCCACCAATAACCTTCCCACTCCTCCCTGACTACCGGGGCCATGGTGACTGAAGCTGTAGGGCCACAAGTTTCCCATCTATGTGCAAGTATGCACAGGGCTCACAATGGCTGGAAAGGGGACCACTGGAAGAGAGGCAGGTAGGTATACCATCACACCTGAGAATAGAACCTCACACTCTCACAAAATGGGAGCAGAGATAGTTTCTTTGTAATTCTGGGTGCAGAATTACAGCTAGCCTGCTTCAGCATGCTGTTCCTCTTACATTTAAGGCAACAGAGTCTTATTAAATGACAAAGAAAATTTCCTTCTGAACTATCGTTTTTATTTATACTTGGATCCATGCAAATGTAATCAATTAACCAATCAATTAAAATTCATACAATTAGCTACAGTTTCTTTAATAGGGTGACAGACCTATTTTTAAGCAGCGAAAAACATCTTTGCTCCCACATCTGGGTCCATAACCCTTTCCAGGTGCAAGGAGCTCTCAACAAGGGGGAGCTTTCAAACACACAGTCCCTGGTGGCACAGTCCAAGGAAGGCTGCACATGCATGCACACATATAGAACCCTGCTCAAAAGGCTTCCACACACATTATACACACATTATATCATGAATCCTCACAACAGCCCTGTAAGGTTGGACAATATTATTATCCATTATTTAAAATTTATAGCATAGGAACATAGGAAGCAGTATGAGCATAGCCAGGATTTTTGTTGGGGGACAGGACATTGTTAGGGGGGCAGGACTTTTGTTGGGGGGGGCAGAACCAACGTGATTGGACAGTTAGTTAAGTATTTCTATTGTTTTACTTGATGGGGGCGGGAGAGGAGCTGTCCTCCCCTTGGCTATACCCATGAGAAGCTGCCTTGGTCAGACCACTGATCCATGTAGCTACAATGACTGGAAATGGCTCTTCAGGGTTCCAGGCATGGACTCTCTCATGCAGCCATACCTCAAGATTTTGGAAATTGCACCTAGGACCTTCTGAATGCATGGCAGATGCTCTAACACTGAGCGTTAGCCCTTCTGCAATAAAGCTCCCCCATAACCTGCCCTTCTGCCAGAAAGGGAGCCCAGGGCAGCTCACAATAAAATGACTTTAAAACAACACTATTAACACCAGTTAAAACCACCAGGTAAAGAAAGGGATTGTCTAATTTTCATAGCTAGCACCTCTGAGAATGCCCTCTCTCTGCTTTAACTACTGATGCTTTAACTACTCTCTGCTTTAGCTACAGATCGCAAAATCGTCCCCGTGTTACAGAATGTAGGGCCTGAGATAACTGAAGCCACAAAGAAGTACATGCCTAAGTCAAGATGTGAAAACCAAAGGCTTAAGCTCCAAACACATTGCTACTTGTGTTTGTGTTGTGTACATTGTATACCGAAGCAGGTGCTAGGCATTAAAATGCCTTTAAGACGGGGTGAGAACCTTTTCCGGAGGAAGGGCTGTTGATCCACAGGAAAAGTGAGTTGGGGTGCATCTGATGATGAGCGCAGCAACAGCTCAAAAAGGACGGGGTTTGCAGCACTGCAAATCACAGCACCCCTCTCTCAGCCACCCCATCCTCTCTCCATCTGTCCATCAGTTTTACATTCTCTCCCCCACCACACACCAATCCCTCCTCAATTAGCACAGATCTGATTGCTTGCAAAAGGCCACAGGTGTCCCACCACAATTTTAAAGGAACAGCCAACAGCGTTACAAATTATTTGAAAACACCTTTGGAGAGCAGACGGGTCAGCAAACAGGCCATTTTCTCCTCCTTTCTAACTCTGACTTGTCTCATTTATTTGCCTTGCATCCAAAGATAAAGACACTAGAACAGAGGAAAGCGTATTGTGTATTTTTTATGGTTAGGATGAAAAACAGGTGGAGAAAGGGAAAGAACAGAGGAAACAAAGAAAACTATTTGAAAGAGCACCATCATTTGGAACAAATACGCAGTAAGGAAAAAAGTACACAAAAGTTCAAAACTACCCCAAAATTCATTATGATATGGGTAGAGAGGTTTTGGCCCTCCAGATGTTGTTCAACTACATCTCCCATCATCCCTGACCATTAGCCATGCTGGCTGGGGCTGATAGGAGTAGGAGTCCAACAATGGCACATTTTAGAGATGGTGAACTCCTTTCAGCCTCAGGGCTACATTTCCTCAAAGGCAGCCTTCTGGAGATGAGGGGAGCGGGGAGAGAGCCCCATATGACAGGGGCAAGTGTTGAGAATGACAAAGGTGGGCAGAGCAACAGATGTGACTCTTACCTTTGCACAGCAGGCTACATTCCAACCACACAAAAGGTCAGAGGTTTCTATGCACAAGAGCCCCAGGCAGGGCAGAGGCTTTATTGCCCTCCAAGGCCTCATTCCAGCCAGGCAAAAGCCCTCAAGGACCGCACAGAGCAGGCCCAGTGATAGGTGTGGCCTGGGGAAGGTGCAAAGTTCTTGGGCCAGATAGAGAAGCCCAGAGGACTGCATTTGGTGTCCAGGCCTAGCCCCATCTTTAGAGGAATTCACTTCAACAGCCAGGGCTGCTTCCCCATGTGCTGCACATAGGAGGGTGGGGCTGATATGGGAGCCAATAAACGAAAGATGCCCTCCATGCCCCATGTTTTGATACTGCAGTGCACTCTGACACCCTTTTCAGATACTTCTGTGGATCAAGGCGTCTGGGGCTACATGAATGCTAACCACCCATTATGGAAATGCATTAACCACCCTGAGATACATTTTGTAGGCTTTTGTTCCGCGGGAGAGATTTCTCCATATCTGCCTTTCAGACTGAGTCATCAGGGTTTCTTGGGCCATGCTGTCCATTTTTCTTTTCTTTTAGTCCTATATAAGTACCCTTACAATTTTGATCAACACCCCCCCCCAAAAAAAACACACTGAATCACCCCCATGCACCTGCATATTTTTATAACACCTTGGCCACAGATTTCCCATTGCTGCTAGCATCAAATATTTAACCAGCTTGCTACCCTTAACTATCTCAACAGATGATAATCCGCCAACAATTGTCCAAGTGTCAGAAAAAACCTCCAGGCTGGATTTACAAATCACCCATATGGCTGCTTCAGATTTAGGGGACAGAATGCATGCACTCTGTACTATGTGAAGTGGATGCACAGGTCAAACCTGTGGATGAGAACCTGTGCGAGTACAAAAACTTTGTGGCTGGTGTTTTCCACTTCGCTGCAGCCCACCCAGAAACAAATTTCACTATGTGATTCTCATACTCCAAACATGACATTTCTCTCATCACTGCATTATACTGTGGTGAATGCAACAATTTGCATCAGATATCTTCATAGACATCTGTCCAGAAACACAAGTCACATAATATGATAGAATTCTGAAGACAACCTATCTTTGATATTCATGGGTTATTCCAAGAAAGAATTCTGACAGACCAATGAGAAGGATGATAACTATTTTTCACACTCCTTTTTCTTTTGTATGGTGACTATTTTAATTATTGGAAGGAATATGACTTTCAGCTGTCTGGAACATAGAACTACTACATAACAGACCAGCTTTTCATGATATCTATACCCTTCACTTTATTCGAGGGGGTGGGGGGTATTGTAAAGCAAAGGCTGTGTACACATTTAAAGCACACCCTTTCCCTCAAAGAATTCTTAGCACTGTAGTTTACCCCTCAGGATTACCATTCCCAGCAACCCTTAACAAACTACACTGCCCATAATTCTCTGGCAGCAGAAATATGCTTCAAAAGTGCTTTAAAGGTACAGTGTGTGCACAGCCTCTGAAGCAAGCTCTTCCTACGTCTACCTCAAAACAGTTTAAATTCAGATCAATTTTTGAAAGAAAAAGAACCCCAATAACATAACATGGCAAAGCTTCTGCCACTAAACCACTTGTTTTCAAAGACCACAGAAGGAATTTTCTAGGCATTGAGACAGTTGGTCATCCATTGGACTTGCTTAGCTGACTAGAACTGTGCGAGTCAAGGAGCTTGTGCCCAAAGAAGGCCTGACAAATCTCTCTCCCCCAGGAAACAAACTGGCTACGACACACCCACTCTCAAAGCTTATACAGTGGTACCTCGGGTTAAGTATTTAATTCATTCCGGAGGTCCGTACTTAACCTGAAACTGTTCTTAACCTGAAGCACCACTCTAGTTAATGGGGCCTCCCACTGCCGCCGCGCCGCCAGAGCACGATTTCTGTTCTCATCCTGAAGCAAAGTTCTTAATCTGAAGCACTATTTCTGGGTTAGCGGAGTCTGTAACCTGAAGCGTATGTAACCTGAGGTACCACTGTACACATATCCTTTATTTAATTTTTTTTAACAAAGGGTAGGTACAACCTGCCCCCATAGCATAAATCTGTCTAGAAAAACCATCTCCCAGCATTTCATCCTATTTTCTCAAAATTCTGTCACACTTTAGTGTGAACAAGAAATGAAACCCCACCTAAAAAAGGAGGACCACTTGTTCCCACATGAACCTGTCATATTAGCTGATCAACACAGGTCCTTCTCCGGGTGCCTCATCACCACATTTTCAGAGGTTAGGGAGCAACTGGGGGGAAACCATCTCTATTTTGTTCTGGCGCTTGTTGGAAGACAAGCCCTCTAAGTCTATCAGCATCCCGATAGATATCTGTACTGGGTTTGAAATTGTGTGTGTATATATATATGTAATTGTTGTTTAATTGTTTTATATGTGATTTTTTAAAAAAAGGTTTTTATAGATATAATTGTTTTATATACATTTTTACTGTTCTGTAAATTGTTTTGAGATGCTTCATAAGATGAGCTTCATAGATGGTTGGCGTATCTTTTGTTAGTTACCTTGAAAATATCTTTATTTGTAAAGCAGGGTATATTTTTTAAAAAATAAACAAAATGGGGCACAATCCATCTAGAGGTTCTCTTGCAGAAGCCTCCTGGGAAGGAAAAGGATTTGTTTCCACCTGAGGGTCCCGCTGATTTCGATGAGGCATTTACAGGACCCGCTTTATGGTGGGTTGTGTCTCATGATTCATCAGTTTCCATCTCTGCCAACTTTCACAGCAACTGCATTCTACCACCTAAAACAGGGGTCAGGAACCTCTGACCCATAGGCCTCACCAGTCCCATAAGTCCTCCACATTCTGCCCACAAGGCTGTTTTGGGTAAGCCAAGCCTGCTTTGCTCTGCACCTGACATCAAGTCACCTGGCATCATTGTGATTTCAAGTGATTGACAGGCAGGTGATCCCACCCACCTGTCAAACTTGACCCCGTATGAAGTGGGGGGAGGAGGGGAGAGAGAGAACCACCAATCCTATACAGTACCCCTACCCAGACCTAAAAGTAGCTATTTCGGTCTTGCCTCATGCTAGGGTTGCAACCAAAGAGAACACAAGTGCATGTCCCTGGATTGCTACACTGATGGGTGAATATAGTTTTCCACACAAAGGCCGTTCATGATCCAGGAAGCACAATGACAGAAAACCAGGGGAGCTGTCGGTCTCTCCCTCTCCCTCTCCCATCCCGCACAATACAGGGGGCCCTGGTGTTCACATGCAGCAGGACCAAATAGGAGAATGCACAATCGATGTGCAGGTGGGGAATGTCATTTCTGAAATCTCAGGGATGTTAAAAACAACACACCACCACACACAAACAGAAAAGCAGCACAGCAGGCACAGAGCTGGGCAAGAATCTCACTCACCATTATACTGGTTGCTTATTTGCAGGGATTCACACACACACACACAGAGAGAGAGAGAGAGAGAGAGAGAGAGAGAGAGAGAGAGAGACACTAACAGCAGGGATTTTGATTTTCAGGGAATTGTTTCAACATGTGACCCTCACCTGAGCAGCACAGTTGCCTCTACCACTTTAGGATTTGGTCACAACATCCTGCTGAATGTACAAGACATTGCCTTTGTCTGCATACACACACGTGCGTGCAAGAAGTCTGCACCGGCTCCTTGGGGGAAAGTGAAGGGGGGCATGCAAAGGCGGTTCGGCTTTTAGGGTGCAGGCTAACCTTGACACAGTTGCACAGTCACTAATGGCAGGCAAAGCGCCTTATCTTGGGGGACGGTTGCAGTTGCTAAGATACTGGCAGCCGTGTGAATGGAAATGGGTCAGTAAACCTGTGGAGAGACAGTGTGACACTCTAGCCACCGCAGCTGTTTGAGCAGAGATCTAAATCCCACCCTTTCAATATTTATCACCCTCCGCCTTCCGGCTCTTTCCTGTTAGCAATTTTCCACTTTGCGCCTCCCCTTTCCCTGGGCAAGAGTTGAAGCCAGAACAATTTAGCAGCGGCATGCAACTGCCACCTAAAATATACCAGTCAACCTACAAACACACACACACACACACACACACACACACACACACACGAATGTTATTATTTGCAAATCAAAGCTGCAATTCCAGAAAAGGGGAGAAGAGAAATAAATATAGGAAGGGAGAGAGGATAAAGAAGGTTAAATAACAATCTCTTTCCTCCCCCCCCTTGCCCCCCACCATACACAAGATGCATTCCCCTCTCAAACAGGATAGAACTGGTTCTTGAAGAGATTTAACAGGAAACAGGCTCTAATCCCTTGGTAGGAAAAAGGGTTAAAAGGTCAATTTACTTCTGTCCCTCACTTAGGCACCGTGGTAAAATTACGCACTAGCAGGAGAAACATTTTACTGCCCCCCCCCCCATTCCTCTTCACAACATGCTCTAGGAATAAAAAGCACAAACGCAGGCAAGGGAGGATGGAACAGACCCATGGGAAAAAGAAGAGCTTCACAGTACTTGGGAGGTGGGGGTGGACGAGATCAGGCAGGCCGCAGCAGAAACAATGGGGTTGGCCTTTTTATATTTTGCATGCATGCACACACACACACACACACACACACACACACACAGAGGGAGGGTGAGCAATGCCATCACATTCATGCAAAAACATACAAGGGTGGGTGTGGGAGTTCTGCACCAATGCAAGTCAGCTGGGGTTGCAGCCAAGTTTTCAACAAGAAAAAAGACGGAGAAAGGTTTGTTTAGGTTAGCTGCTCTGCATGACAGTCGCAGAGTCTGGGTTATGGTAAAGCATAATTGGGTAGCTTTCTGTATGCATGTCTTTGGACTACTGTAATGCGCTGCACATGGGTCTGCCTTTGAAAAAAACCAGTTCAGAAACTTCAGTTTATTAAGCATCTGGTTGTGAGGCTGTTAACTGAGAGTGGGTGATGATGAGCACATTCTGCCACCGTTTTTGCCATCTTCACTGGTTCGCATCCATTCCGGATCCAATTCAAGGTGCTGCTTTGGGGTCTTTTAAGGCCCTTCACAACTTTGGACAAGGCAGCTGAAGGGATACACATATACCAATCCTTCTTTGGAAGCTCTTTCTCCAAAAACTCCTGCCAAGGAAGGTGCAGTTGCTAGCTATGGGAGAGAAGGCCTTTTCAGTGGTGGTGCCCCAGCTATAGAATGCCTTCTTCAGAGAGGCCTGCCTAACACCTACTTTGGTGACATTTCAGCAACAAGTGAAAACTATTTTTCACACTAGGCCTTTTAGTCCTTTTCAGCTTTAAGCTGTTTTTAGACTCCTGTTGTTGCTTTTGTTTTCATTTACAATCGGGTTTTTAGGTTATGGGCAGCCCAGAGAACTTTATTATAGGTCAGCCTACAAATACTGTGAATCATAGAATAATAGAATAGTAGAACTGCAAGGGACCACGAGGGTCATCTAGCCCAACCCGAGCAATGAGACAACTGACATTTTGTATAAACAACAACAACAACAAAAACCACTTAAGAGTCCTATGTTCCATCACTCCCATCAATCCAGCCTGATTCTTCTCATCTCTCTTCTCCAGCTCTCATTGATGGATTGTTTTCCTCCACTCCACAGAATACCTGCCAGGCATTTTTATCTGATCCTTTGGGATAGGATTGGCAGAGCTGTTAAAACCCAGTTGGAAACAAAGCAGAATGGCATGCATAAGCATGTTTGCAAAATATAGGATTGGTGCATCTGCCTCACTAGTTTGATCGTCACATTTTCCTCCTTCTCACGCATCTTACCGCTTTGCAGTAGAGTAGGCTAGGAGACAGTGATTTGTTTTATGTCTGAGTGGAGTAACTCTGATCCTAATCCAGTAGGAAATATCTGCACTACAAATATATACCTAGTAGGACTAATGGAAAAGATTCCAAGTGCACAGAAAGGAAAACATTTTTGTATTATTTCGTTTAATATGTAGAGTTAAGATACACACAGCCATACACAATAGCCCTTCAAAATACAGTGGAACATCATGTTATGTACCGTCCTCCTTACGAATGCTTCGGGTAATGACCTCCGCTAACCCGGAAGTAGATGCCCCTAGTTGCGAACTTTGCCCTGGGATGCGAGTGGAAGTCGTGTGCTGGCAGCGCGGCAGCAGCGGGAGGCCCCATTAGCGAAAGCATGCCTCATGATAAGAATGGTTTCAGCTTAGGAACAGACCTCCAGAACGAATTAAGTTCGTAACCGGTACCACTGTATGCTTCACATCTTTTTAACTGTGACAGCATCCCCCACCCTGTCCTGGGAATTGTAACTGTAGTTTCAGGGGCTGGGCATGCATAAATCTCATGGTTCTGCTAGTTCCAGGTACAAACTAATCCGTTGTGTAGAGATATGCCTACTCAGTCCACTAAACTTTGCGTTTATATGAAGTTAAATCTGCACCTCACCACTATTCCTATTGTAAAAGTCACAAGAACATAGGTAACTGCCTTATATTGTTGGTCCATCTGGCTGAGTATTGTCAACACTGGCTGGCAGCAGCTTTTCAGGGTTTCCAGAGTCTTTCTTAGCCTTATCTGAAAATGTGGGAGATTGGACCTGGGACCTTTTGCATGCAATGCTTGTGATCCACCACTCATTGTAGCTTTGCAATTAAGCAAAATGCTTTGTTTTCGGAAATATTAATTGTGTTGACATTTAATGGAAAGCAAAACTAAAAAAAAAAATACCACACAGTCCTATAACCTCTGTATCTTTGTTTAATTCAAACACTGTACAGTACTAAGTGGTATATAGAAACACAAGACATGACAGTCTCTCCCTCAGAGAGCTTACATTATTATGTGTCTGATCTCAGAAGGGAAAGGATAATAATGGAAGAGATGTACACAGGAGTAGCAGACTAAGGTGAGTCCAAGGGAGGCTAGAATGGGCTTAATTAAAGTAATCAAGATGGGGCTTGGAGGAGATAACATGATAAAAAGAGAAGGGAATGAAGAGAACATACACAGTACTTGGCTCATTTTCTAGCATCCAGCTCTCCTCAAATTAAGCAAACCTGCCTTGCATGTGCGCACATTCAGCCTGAGATCTCCTCTTAATTATTAGAAATCACCCTTCCCTTTGTTAATATCAGTGAATCTTCATCAATTCCATGAAAGTATTTCCATGTAGGAAATCACATGATCCAATCACATATATAGCTAGCCACATGGAACAATCACATAGACATATATTGGCCATTGCACGGTGTGCCTGCAACAAAACAGATGCCGACCCCACCACTCCAGTTGCGTACAGATAGTGAAATAACCCGAGAGCATGATCTACATACTGGGTTCATGCTCTTTATAGCCCAGAAGTGCTTTCCAGCGTGGGGATTGCAGTTACACCTGCCCAAAAGTCTATCCTAACTTTAGATCCCCCACTCCCAGGGGGTGCCAAGTCATGCTGATCACATAGCAAATTCACCTGTGGGATTTTATCTAGCTTTATGTGGAAGCAACTCATTTCAGTAAGCTGGTGGGGTGGATAGTCAAAGCTCCGCCTCTTGCGCAAAGATTGATATCCCAAAGAATGAGACTTCTCTTTGCCATGCGCTAGGGACTGTTGTCTGAACTGGCCCAATACCTTATCACTGCAAGATCCACTACTACAAAGTCCCCGCCCTCCCACCTCAGGGAGAGGTGGGTACAGTAGCAGAAGGTGAAGAAAAGGGGAAAGAAAAGGGATCCTTCCACAACTTATGAAAACAAGCTTGTCACGCAGAGGTAAGAAAAGCAGCAACCAACATTTTCGCTGCTGCACAACTGTTAAAGGTACAGGAATCCAGTCATCCTTCGTATCTGGCAATCCTAGTATGGGGTAGAACTTTGTCATTATATCAACCTTCTGGGGCCCTATGATCAGCATGGGAAGGCCCTTTGGTGCTTCCACTACTGGGTACTGCCTGGTCACCATTAACCTGTGACAGGGACTTGTTGATAGCAGTTCCCCATTTGTAGAATGTTCTCCCTGGTGAAGTGCATCTGTATTCCTTATTATTTTCAGGAGGAATTTAAAAAACATTCCTATTTACCCAAGCATTTGATGACTGAAAGATACTGATCCTGGCAACCTTGAAATTATTAGCTGTGAGAATGTGATTCAAAGGCTCATAATGTTTTTAAGTGTTTAGATATGTTTTCATTTTATTTTTAGTTATATTGTTTTATCACTTTTATGTTTGCAGCCCTGGTCTCCTTTGCAAGGAAGGATGGGACATACATTTAATAATAAATAATAAAGTACAGAGGTACCTCAGGTTAAGTACTTAATTCGTTCCGGAGGTCCGTACTTAACCTGAAACTGTTCTTAACCTGAAGCACCACTTTAGCTAATGGGGCCTCCTGCTACCGCTGCGCCGCCGGAGCACGATTTCTGTTCTCATCCTGAAGCAAAGTTCTTAACCTGAAGCACTATTTCTGGGTTAGCGGAGTCTGTAGCCTGAAGCGTATGTAACCTGAGGTACCACTGTAATAAGAATGCTTAAGGCTAGTTAAGGAACAAACCCAACTGTTTTTTAGAAGTCAGCTTTGGATGGAAGAGCTGAAGATGGCTGCAAACAGCTCGCGCTTCTCAATATAATGGCTCTGGAGCAGAAGCCTCTAGATCATCATCCTTCTTACATCCCCACCCACTGTGCAGGTGGTTCGAGCAGAACGGTTGATATGGCAACAAGGGGGAAGCAGATGTTATCAGAGTAAGGTGACATTCGGACAGATGCCAGGCAAAAAGACTTGCTTGAATCCAGTACCCCCATTGCCATTTCCTTGTGAGCTGAGCCAAAGATGAGGTATGAGGGAGTATGTGTCAAGGAAATCTCTCATCTAGCCCAACACCACTTCAGTTCCGGAAGTAGCTTAGCATTGTATAGTGTGCTGCTGCACCCAGTCTGATTAATTTAAAGAATTCGTTGCTACAAGATGTGGTGATGGCCGCTGACTTAGGCTGCTTTAAAACAGAATTAGAAAAATCCATGGAGAAGGTGGTAGTCTATCACGGGTATTAGTCATGTTAGCTAAACAGAAAAACACAATGCACAAAAGCAGCATACTACTGAGCATCAGTTATAGGGGAACAACAGCAAGAGGTGGTTACTGCCTTCATGCTCCGCTTATTGGTCTTCTGGAAGCATCTGGTTGGCTGCAGGATGCTGAACCAGACTTATATTTGGTGTGATCCTGCAGGGCTCTTATGCTCTTAGTTATCACTGTCCAAGTAAGAGAGATCACATTACCCCAGTAGTCCTTACAACCACCCTGGAAGGTTAGCCAGTACTAACCAAGTTTTGCAGATGGCGATATTTAAGGCCATCAAAAGAGTTTAGAGCTAATGTTATATTTAAACCAGGAAGTATTCTGCTAATTTTCTTAGCCAATATGCTACATTATCTTCTCTCTTCAGAAAAAGAGTTGGGTTACATGTGATGGTGTGTTAATGTATAGCTGTGAGCAAATCTAATAGTTTGGGCCCTGACAATCTTGGTGTTTTTTTTTTTTTTTTGCAAAACAAAGTAACAGTTCAGCACCCAATCTTTTCCCCAGCAGCTAGCAACAAAGCCAGAACTCAGTTTGGCTGAACACATTTGCTCAACACAGAGAGACTGAAAATCAGGACTCACAAATCTCAGAAGAGCCTAGAGATGAGATCTAAGCACAGGCATGGATCTCTGAACACCAGTTGCCAGGGATCACAAGTGGATAGAGTGCTGTTGCTTGCACTCAGGTTCTGCTTTGGGGCTTCCCATAGGCATCTAGTTGGCCGCTGTGAGAACAAGATGCTGGGTTAGATGGGCTGCTGGCCTGATTCAGCAGGCCATTCTTATGTTGCAGGAGAGGAATTGAGAGGGATTGCAGTTCAATAGCAAAGGACACAGCTGGCAGGCAGAAGGCACCTATGTCAATCTCCGGATAGCAGGAGCGAACTGGAATAATAGTAAATGCTGGGGCTAGGTGAATTGACTCAGTATAAAATAGCTTCATAATCTCAGATGGTGGGTGTGCTGCTTCAGAAAAAATGTCTTGTGTGCCTGGTTAAGGCAGGAAATTAAGGGCTCCTCCAGACTGGTTTTTGTGTTTGTTGGTTTGTTTTGGAGCTGCATTCTGCAACAACTCATTGACACAAAAATAGTGCACTGCTGGTGGATTAATACTGGACCACTGGGATTTCAAAGGCAGAAAAGACATCCGGGGGAAATTATGAAATGTGCTGCTTTGCCTGGATCTCAGGCAAGTCAATCCAAAAATCACATTTTTTGGCGTTTTTGTGTAAAAAAAAAAAAAAAGCACAACTTTGGGGTGTCCTGGTTTTTACTTTTTGAAATATGGCAACCCTGTAACAACCCAATGTTACAGCATTACTGAGGGGCACTTGTGGACTGTACTTCATCAAAGGCAGAACAACAACAACAAAAGCCCTGTGTAACATTTGTGGTACGAAGTTACAGGATTTCAAAAGGACGCTATGGAACATGAACCGATCAGAAATGATCAGTTGTGTGCCCCCCAAACCTTTGCAGGTACAAAAAGTATTGAAGGAAGAATAGCATGTAACTTCCCTGATACCATCATGAGCACAAATAATAATGAATGTACAACGAAAAGGATGGCTGGAAGGCCCCTAATTTTGAACATAGCTAACCACATGAGCTCTACTGACCACCCCAAATTTCCTCTGCTTTTTGAAAAAAAAATGAGACCTTTCCCTCTGCTCTTCCACACTCCCTTCTTCACCCCACCCTTATCTTCCATCTGTCTTTCCCCACCATCAAAACTTGGAGCAGCGGAAGGTCAGCAATTAAAAACAGGGGGGGAAATGAAACCCTTCTTCACACAGAGGCTTCGGCACCTCCCAGTGCTAAGATCAAAAGGGATATCTTATGGATCAGCAAGCAAGGGCGAGAGGGAGAAGGATTCCTGTCATGCAAGCGAAGATCCAGGAGACAGACTTCCTTAGCATAGCGCAAGAAGATGATTGGGGCACCCAGGCCACTCGTGCCCACGAACTCATTATGGCAGGAAAGGAAAAGAGTAAACACAACTACAGGGCTTAATAGTCACAACCTAAGCCAATCTTATCAATATTCTGAGGTTGAGAGAGTGCCTCACCTTCTGTCCCCTCTTATCTATTACCTGCAGCTTCTCGTATTGGCAGGGGCAAGAGTCAGCCTCTGGGTATCCTCTTTGTTCCACTTCTATTTCAGCTGCATGGTCTTCATCTGTCACACCAGCAAAGCCTCAATAAAGAATCCATTTCCTTTTGCTTTACACACACACACACACACACACACACACACACACACGATCCAGGCTTTTCTTTGCCCACAGTGATATTTAGAGTGTACCAATGCAACAGACTTGGACTGGGATGGCTGTCAATGCACATCCCACAGTCCACACGCATGCACCTTAAACCCAGGCTGACTACAAGCATCCAAAAATTAGGGGTGAACTAAGAACCAGAGGGAGGGCAGCACTTTGTTGGGATTTCCACGTTTCCAAGCTAATGCACAGCCAGAAGACTGGGGGAGAATGGCTATCTTGCTGTGCCCTTAGGAACACCGCACTCGGCGACTCACGTTGTCTGAAACGGTCAATTATTATTAGCATCATTACTACTGCATAAAGTTCACTGCATGGTAGAGTTAAACAGAGTCACAGAGAGTTCCCTGCCCTGGGAAGCTTACAACTTTATGTATGATACAGAGTTGTGCATACTTTGCTCTTTTTTAATTAAAATGTAAAAAAAAAAAGTAAGTGATGAAAAGTAACCCAAATTTTGTGCCAAACAAATCCCAGTTATGCAAAGCAAGCAGAGACTTTTGCATAACTTAATTCTGGGGAAGGGCAAGAAGCTATGAAGTAAATGGAAGTTACCACCCCTGAAAACTGAAAATCTTATTTAGTTCTCTGAGCTTTACCCATTTTTTATTTTTTAAATTGGTTGTGGGTGGTGGCAGGCAGGATTTTAGAATTTTCTAGCAGGAAGCCTGGCAATGGCATGGAGAGAGAGTAGGAAAGGAGGGTGGAGCATGATGTTGGCATAAGGCAACAGCATGGGTGAAAACAATTTTTCAACTGTTTTGGTAAGGTTGTATTTCACTTTTGATTTTTGCGTATGTCACCCTGGCTATTTTTGATACAGAAATGCAATTAATAAGCTTCTACTATAATAGCAGCAGCATGACTGAGGACTATGATAGCCATGTGCCGTACTTTTGCATAAAACACTCCTCTATTTGAAAGCTTCTGTTTCCAGATTGGCCCTCCAGATGCTGTTGGACGTCAGCTTCCATCAGTTCCAGTCACCATGGCCAATGGTCAGATATGATGGGAGTTACAGTCCCACAGTATCTGCAAAGCCACAGGTTCCCAATCCCTGGTCTACATTGACTGACAGTAGCTCTCCAGGGATTCTGGGAGGGACATGGAATTTTAGCATACCTGCATTTCTCCCCATGTCACTGTCCAACCTTAAAAACAGTTCTCCTTTTTTCTTCTTGCAAGTATTTTAAATATTAGAATACCTTGAGTGCCTTGACAGAAAGTGGTATATAATTGTTCTCGGCATGCGCATTTTTAATACACACACACACAGAGGGGCTAGTAATTGATTGTTATTTAAATCTTTCAGAAGACCTCAAGGCACCTTAAAGTCAACTAGTTAAACACACCACCACAAACAAGTACATAAAGTTAAAGAACGGGGAACAGCTAAAAGCAAGCAGCCAGCATATAAACATTATATGGAAAGTGAAATGTAAACACATTACAGCCTCCGGGGTCCATACAAAAACATGCAAAGTATGTTGATTTAGTATTTGAGGGAGGATTTTCCTGAGGTATGGGGCTACCACGGAAAAGGCCTGGTCCCTGGTAGCCAGCCTGCTCTTTCCTGGTGGCAGACCAGACAGCAGACGTTTTGAAGAATTCCAATTCTGCATGAGATACATGGATGTTTAAGAAAGATGAAGGGAACAAAAAGGAACTAATTTGTGCTACTGAAGCGAAGAGAAGAGACTCAGCATTTTTTGAGGAACACCCCCCCCAAAAAAAAAATAGCCTCAAGTTTTGGGGGATTCCTTCTTCTTTCCCCTGTCCCACCTGTATTTCAAAAGCAAAAATTCTTCTTGAAAAACTTTCAGCTGAGTTCTAGATGAAGATGAAGCCATCTATCCTGCCCCAAAATGATGGCAGATGGTTCCCGGAAGGGATTATTCCATCTGACGTCACTATTTTACTCCCTGAGTAGAAACTCTGCATTGAGGGAGTACCTAGAAGGGGAGGAAACCGAGGATCATGCCTGGCAGATGGTGTCATCTGGGATCATGTCCCTGTACCTCGCTGGAATGAGATGCAACAGTCACCCAGCCTTGAGCATCATTATGCTGCAGAGACAGCTTCTTTACAACAGCAATGGCAAGGTTGTGCAGAGGGGCTGAGGAAGCAAGCAGCAAGGGACGTCTGGTGCAACAGAGTGGAACCCATCCAAAGCACATTTTATGAACTGGAGTAGGGTGGCGGTGGAAAAATGGGTGGCATTTCATCCTCCCCCTCACACCCGAACGACAAACAGGACTGAGGGAGGGTTTGTCTATGCCTGTTTGCCTGATAGCCAGGAAGCCATGCTACATGCAAAACAAATAAACAAACAAACCTCCCAAATAAACCAGAACCCTACGAAATGGAAAGGTGGTGCTTTGCGTCAGAATCACCTTAAGAGAACTAGACAAGGGAGGCTGGAATCCAACATGCTCTGCTGTAGACCTGGCTGGGGAGGTAGAAGTGAAAGGAATGCAAGAACCACCCTCACAGCTTGCAATAATCGGGGGGGGGGGGGGAGGCGGGTTGTTGTTCGTTTTTTAAACCATTTAAGCAAATTCTGTAATAGAAGTCGCAAGATCCAAGTTAGGCTCATCCATGCTCCATGACTACTTCTGAAAAACCCACAACCCACCCCCTCTCCTCTCATTCTTCCAAGAGCTCCTAATGGATGCGGTGATGCTAGAGAAATTTCTTGTTGTTTTCCTTAATTATTATTTAAAGTTTGCTTCCACCACCAGCAGTCTCCCCCCCCCCCACAACCTTTCTCGCATTCTGGCATTTGGTGTGTTCCCCAGCTGCAGGAAATTCCTAACGCTCTCCATCATGCAAGTCTGCTTGCTAAGAGCCCTCTTCCCTTGCCAAGTCTCCCCTAAAGGACAGACATGTGTTGGGCATTCAAGCACACCCAATGACATGGTTTCTCTTCTCCCCGATGCCTAACATAGAGTTGGATTCTTTACCTTTCTCCCTATACTTTTAAAAATACGCAAAAACACCCACACACACCCCTAACTTCTCTAAAGAGAGAACCTCCTTTACAGAGTGGTGAGCCCTGAAGTCAACCGTATTTGCAAGAACCCAGTCATGTTTCTTTCCTGTGCACACATACTGCCTTTCTCTCTTTCCCTCCACCCCACACTTCTTTCCGAGATCGCTCCTGATCTTATTTTAATTCGTCTCAGACGGTGTTGGGGAGTGTTATTTTAAGAGAGAGGATATGCACAGACATTGTGTTTTCTGCTTTTTTTTCCTGGCCCCGAGCCAGTCTCTCTGGGCTGTCAAGCTACCCACTGTGTTGGAGTCACGTGTGGGAAGAGGCAGCCAGCGCCAGCTTCAGAACTCCTGGTAGCAGCATGAGAATCAAGTGTACACTTTTCTTCCCTCTGTATGTGTCTGTATTATTAATAGCATCTCTCTTCTCTTCCCCGCCCCCCGCCCCGACTGCATGAGCTATCCATAACATATCTTAATACCTGTCTGTGTCTACAGATGCTGGTGAAGGGGCAATGATGCTATCTGGGTACCATATGCCCACTTTCATACACAAAGGGAAAGGTGGGAAATAAAGGTTTGAGATGCATCCACAAAGCTCTGCTAAGGACTTGATTTGCAAGCTGCCTCCCCTGCTGGATGGGTTAACATAAAACCTATTTGCATCCTGTAGGCAAGAAAACCTGTTTTCTGCACAGCTGTGTTGTGATAGAGGCACAGTTTGTGGACAATGTTCCAGAACTGAATCTATCAAACCACAGAGAATCCAGGCTTTCACAGAACAGTTACTAGTCCTTATGATGGCAAAGGGAAAGCTTAGAATGGACTCAGTGGAAAACCCAGTGGCCAGAAGGAAGGTATACTCTCTATATAGCTTCTTTGCCTTCACTCACAGATTTCTGTCTTTTATCTCCGGACGTGAAAATGTAGAAGGCATCCCTGATATAACGAGCACTCAACGAGCTTGATTATTTGCTCTGAAATCAGAAAATATTTACATAATATTACATACACCATTGCCTGATCTCACCTACCAAACACCTCATTATTTACTGCAAAACTGGAGCAAAAGACACATGGACTAGAATGGCAAGTATTAATGTTGCTTGAAGACTATAAAAACCATGATGCTGTGCAACCTAGGGGGGAAATCTATAAATTATGTTTTTAGATTTGTTGTTATTTATTTTTATTGCATTCTTTTAAGGCTGATGGGTTTGCCACCCGAGGCTCCTTTGGGAGGAAGGGCAAGATACAAATTTAATAAAGAAATCTATAAAAACATCTGGACCTTAACTGAAGTAAGTTATTGTCAACACTGAAGAAAAGGCAATCCAAGCAAACAGGCAAAAATTTGAATGGACTTTTTGCACAGAAATCCACAGGCTGAGTGCTCTAAAAATGAAACTTGTGCAGGCTGTGTTCATCCTGATAAGGATCTGAATGCAGATTTGGTAGAAATTTGATGACTATAATCACACTTGGAGAGGGTGGCATAAAAGCAACATGCATAGAGTCTCACAGAAATCAGGAACAGAAGCCCTTAACTAGCACCAGGGCTGACTAAGGAGATTATACTCCTTAAAACCTGGGGATTGGCAACTGCTCAGAGTGCTTAGGCTAGGAAAGACAGGCTAGCTTTGGTGACAGGATGAAAGACCTTGGGGGTGTAGCTTCTCAGGCACATCATCAAGGGCTGTAAGAAACCTTTGCCTTTCAAAATTACCAATGCAATGTGCATTTCTGCTTATCCTTAGGGAGGGAGGAGAGCTTTCACCACATCCCACCTCTCCTATCTGAGAGACACCTGGGACACACTGAAACCAATATCCAGCCAGCAGAACAAGAGTAGGGAGGTAGATAAGCCCTGTTTTGCACAACTGGAAGGCAGGCTGATCTACTGAGAAGCTTCGTGTTTTCATTTTTCTGTACAAGTTCTGGAATTCTCTCACAAACAGACATTGGTCACTTCTATAAAAGAAAAATCCTTGACTAAACAGTGTATGGGGAACCTGCAGACCTCCCTCCAGATGTTTCTAGACTACAATTCCCATCCACCCCAGCTAGCATGGCCAATGGTAAGACATAATAGGAACTTATTCCAGCAACACCTGGAGGGCCACAGGTTCCCCAGCCCTGGACTAAACCATATTTACAGTATGCTGAAAAGCATTTACCAGCAATTTATTTCTTACATTGATATCCTATACAGTGGTACCTTGGTTTACGAACTTAATCTGTTCTGGAAGTCCGTTCTTAAACCAAAGCATTCTTAAACCAAGATGTGCTTTCCCATAGCGGGGGGGGGGGGGGCTCAGTTTTCAAATGGAACACACTCAACAGGAAGCGAAACATGTTCTGTTTCCAAGGCAAAGTTCACAAACCAAAACACCTACTTCCAGGTTTGCATCATTCTTAATTCAAGTTGTTCATAAACCAAGCTGTTCTTAAACCAAGGTACCACTGTATTTTGGCCAGCAGAGGCCACCACATGGCCAGGGGGACAGCCAAATATCTGGATAATCACAAGTTTGCAGGAAAGAGGGCTTTTATTTGACATAGGGTTAAATAAATAAAACCTACTGCTAATGGTGCCTAAAATCTGCAGCCTGAGGTAGCTGCCTTGCCTGATCATAAAGCCTCATCTAAACAAGTGGCTTTTAGGTAACTGAGCTCTGGATCAGAGTTGTAACATGTCAAGATGACACTCATTTTTAAGTGACATCCAGCATCACCCACGAAACAAACACAGGTCGGGGGAGGAGAGACCTGCACAATATTGGCTCAAGTTACAGGTTAGTCATGACTTGCCAGGGCAGCCTTGAGCATGCCCTCTCTCAATTTACCATCTATAAAATGTGAACTAGGATGGCCTAGGGGGTGCAGAGGTAATTGCCGCAAAGCTCTAAAAATGCTATCTTGCGCATACTTTCCAAATTACCCCTCCCATTCCCAATACATATACTTGCAGCACTGGGGAAAAAATGCAATATGCTATGAAAATAATATATCAGCTGCAAGTTACCATGTTACTACTAAATATTATTTTCAGATTTTTTAGCACTGGATTTTTTTTAAAGTTATGAGAAATAGAGGGGCCACTTCATTTGGCCTTGTAAAGGGGAGGGGGGAGGAAACATGGCTGCTGTGCAAGTATGAATTCGATTGGCCGCTGAAAATTCCGACCGCGGTGCTGCTCTCCAGCCTCCCTACAGCGCCCAGGCAGGATGGAATTGCTAGCAGCGCTGTCTGGAACAAGTTAGCTCATTAGCCTGTAGCCCAGCTGCTGCCTGAAAACCAAGGTGGGTCCAAATCTGTGGCTGGGTTTTGGAACCCGACACTCACTCACATCCCTCAGAAGTCAGCCAGCAACTGAAATAGCCAGGGGAGGAGCTTTGCGCCCAGTTGCCAACAGCTTTTCTGAGTGTTTTCCAGAAACAAGAGGGTTGAAGTAAAAAAAAAAGGGGGGGAGGGGCTAAAGTCTGCCTGAGGCTTCTGCCAGCTACACACACACACACACACACAGAGAGAGAGAGAGAGAGAGAGAGAGAGAGAATGAATCCAAAGAGAGAATTTGGTCCTAAAGCAAAAAAGCCTTTCACTAAGCTCCCCCATCTGATGTCAGTTTCCTAGGGGGCGGGAGGGGGAAGGGAACTGGAATCCAGCGAGTGAAATTAACAGGAGCTTCAGGCTTTGCATTTCTGGATTCTGGTTCCCCTATTTCTGCTCCTGGCTGTTGTTTCCATGGAAACTGGCATCAGACCTGGGAAAATAAGGTTAGGGTTTTCAAAGGGAGGCTCTCTTCCAGCTCCCTCTCCCCCTTAATTTCTGGCGCTCTGGCCCCCTGTTCCACTGAGAAAAGCAAAGTGAGGAAACAGCAAGCAAGATTCTCTCCCTGGAAGATTGCAGCTGCCTGCTGAGATGGGGTAAGCTATGCTTTTCAGAACCCAATACCGATTTGCAGTGCTTCAAAAAAAAAACCCAGGGAGGGGGTGGGGGGAACATTTTAATTAGTAAGTGACAATAATAATACCTTTGTGCTTCTCCACTGCCTTTCATCTGGGCATCCCACAGTGCTCTGCAGACATTCATTAATTTGGAAATGCATATCAGCATCCAGGCACCTCTGCCAGGAGGAGAACTCGATCACCCCTCCTCCTCATTATCCAGGAGATAGCTATGCCTAAAGTTCCATAGTCAAGGGGCAAAACCAGCAAGGGAACCCAGAAGGGCCAAGTCTGGACCACATAGCTACACTCCTGGGGTCTTAAGATGCTTTAAAGAGATAAAATGCACACACATATACAAAATCATTGATGTAAAATTGGGTGCATGCTTTTAATAACCAAACTGCTCCTGCACCAGGAAGGATGTTATCGTTCCAGTAATGCACACAAGCCTTGTCTTGGTTTGGGCACCCAAAGAAATGTGCACTGTCCAGATGAACAGCAGGGGGCTATTTATGCTGCAACTTTTGTAAAGCAAAAAGGTGTTGGGGGACAACTATGATAGCACACTAGCCTAGTTTCTGTTCTCATACTCCTGAACACACAGTTGCCTTGGGCAAGTGCCACCTACCTCATCAACACAAAAGGGAAACCGAGGCAGGTGGCAGCAATAGCAGCACTATAGCAAGAAAACTTCACAAAGTGATGCTTTTTCAAAGGTGCTGATTGGAGTGGAAACATGCTGGTGATTTTAGTGTGTTTGTGTATGTGCCTGAAAGATTATGGGTTGTCTTCAACTAAGCTTTACTCAGAGCAGAGCTACTGAAATTAATGAAGTTAAGTTAGTTTTGTTCATTGATTTCAACTGGTCAGCTCCAAGTAGGACTAGCGCTGAATATGTATACATGAGACATGCGCACACAAATATTTATGCACAAAATGCATAATTAAGTTATGGACTTTGCTATCAAAAAAGGAGATTATGACAACTGGGTTAAAAAAGTAAAGGGACCCCTGACTGTTGGGTCCAGTCGCAAACGACTCTGGGGTTGTGGTGCTCATCTTGCTTTATTGGCCGAGGGAGCCAGCGTACAGCTTCCAGGTCATGTGGCCAGCATGACTAAGCCGCTTCTGGCAAACCAGAGCAGTACACGGAAACGCCGTTTACCTTCCTGCCGGAGCAGTATCTATTTATCTACTTGCACTTTGACGTGCTTTCGAACTACTAGGTTGGCAGGAGCTGGGACCGAGCAACGGGAGTTCACCCCGTCACGGGGATTTGAACCACCGACCTTCTGATCGGCAAGCCCTAGGCTCTGTGGTTTAGACCACAGCGCCACCCGCGTGCTAGACAACTGGGTTACATGACTTCAAAAACAGATGAGACGATTCCATGGGGGAAGACCATGTGTTAAAAACTGGGATAGAAAAGCTAGAAGCCAAATGGTTTCTGGGGCCTGGGTTTTGGGCAACAAAACAGAATGTCTAGTTGCCACTGCGGGGTAGGGTGGGGTGTCGGAAACACATTTTATTATTTTGATAACCGTGAATTAATACACAATTTACACAAGTGACACGTTGTTAAAATCACATTTTTAGCGGAAACTGTTAATACATGCTTATTTTTGTGTTTACAATAAAATTATTGGTACCATATTTCAGTTTTCAAAACACTCTACTCTTTATTGTTAAACTCCTTTAACATATTGTCTATCCTTAACATATACTTTGAGGCTTCCAACACATACATTTCAGTAATCCTTGAGTGTCAGCCAGGCACAAAAAAATGGCACCCAGACTTTTTGAGGTGCCTGCAAATGGAGAATCTTTAGGTGCACAATGCACCTGGCACTCTGCTAATTTCAAACCCTAGGGAAGACAGGTGAACCAACAGCTATTAGCCTGGATAGCCAAATGGAACCTCCATTTTCAGAGGCAGAAGAACAGTAAAAACTGGCAGCTGTGAAGGCTGCTGCAGGATTTCCAGAAGCAACTGTCTGGTCATCATACAAATAGGTAGCAGAACTAGATGGACCTTTGCTCTGATCTAGGAGGGCTCTTTGAGCACACCAGGGCTGGGCAAATTTTTGGCCAGGAAGGGCTGTATTTCAAGGTGGACCATAATTGCATACACATGCACAGGCACACAGAGGAAAGCAGGCATAGGCTTACAGTGTTTGTACACACACCCCACTGGAATTTTTAGCTGGCATATTTTATTATAGTTGTTCCTTTTTTATTGTACTGTATTGGTTTTTAGATTATATAATCTATTCTATATGACACTATACTTTATCTGGAATCTGGTTTGATAAAAGACAGTTTAGAATTCTTTTTATTTGTTTACTTAAACACACACAAAAACGAAACCCATAAAAGCTAGAGAGTCTCCAGCCTAGGTATCTCAGGTGGTATGAGACAAGGATCACTGCTTGTAGTGTGAGCATTATAGCCTGTGGTAAACAGGTATAGCGGGTTTCAAATATGGCTTTATCTAACTGGTTTTGTGGGTTTTTGAATACTAGACCAAAAACCTTGCAAGTACTGTATAGATGATGATGCAGTTTTTAGACCAATGCCAAGTCTTAAAAACTACCAATGCATTTTAGCAGCATGGGAAGAGAAGAGGTAATTTACATCAGAAAAACTGTGACGGTAGGAGGCTTAACTTTCCCAGTGCAGCAGTCCCAACAGGTTTCTGGGGATAACCCATATCTACGTTTAAAATAAATTTAAGCAGAGAGAAGAGCTGAACATTGTAGTTTGATCCTGCTGCTGCTGCTGCTGCTGATGATGATTTCTACCAGTCAAAATGTTAGGATTTCTACTCAGAGAGGATTTGTTTTTGGTTTTAAGAATAATTACTGAAGGCATTAGATACAAGATAGATAGATAGAGTGAGTGAGTGAGTGAGTTTAGGACCTCTCAACAGCAGGGAACATGCATGCACCCTCACAAATAACTTTTTAATACCACCGTCTTCCTCAAGTAAGGAACTCCTCAGACTACTTTTCTGCCTTAGATGCTAGCTTCTCCATCACTCCCAAACACTAGCCCAGGACTAGGCTCTCAAGACAGTATCTGTCTCCATTCCTTGGGATAAAAATAAGCATACTTTGTGTCTATTAAACTTTTTAATAATAATAGTAATTACGATTCAATAAGTACAACCATGCATTATTCTGAAATACTTTTCTAACTGATGCTCCCAATTCTTACAATGTGCATTGGTTCAGCATTTGGCTTTACGATGCTGGGCCACCACAACATTTCAGTTGGCAGATTTCATCACAAACATGTATCTGCTGATGAAACCAACTTCAAAGAATGGGCTGCAAGTCTTGCTTTGTTCCACTCTGGGAATGCTATACAGTGGTACCTCGTGTTACAGACGGGATCTGTTCCAGAAACCCGTCCGTAATAGGAAAAGCCCACAACTCGAAGCGCTGCAATGTGGGGATGAGAACAAGGAACTAGATCTGGACCTGGACCTGCATAAACATCTGTGTTTTGTTTCAGTCTTTGCAGACCACCAGAGCACACTGAGTAGTTAATTAACAAGGAAAAGGGGGAAGAAAAGGGGCACACAGGGTGGAGGGATAAACCTCAGACCCAGGTATGCTGTGCAAGCAGCACTAGCAAAACATAAACAGGAAAGATGATAGTATGGCTGGATGATCACCAAACTAGATTTCTAAAATTATGCACAGCACGGATAGAGAAAAGTTTTTCTTTCTCTCTTTTAACACTAGAACTGGTGAACATCCAATGAAGCTGAATGTTGGGAGGATTTGGGACAAAAAAAAGAAGAATATACTTCTATATGCAGTGCATAGTAAACTATGGAATTTGCTCCCACCAACTTGACTGGCTTTAAGGGAGGATTAGGCAAATGCATGGAGGTAAAGGTTTTCAGTGGCTAATATTTATGATGCCTATGCTCCACCTCCAGGTTGGAGGCAGTACACTTTTGAGTAACAGTTGCTGGAAACCACAGGAGGGGAGAGTGCTCTTACCTACAGGCTTCCCATAAACATTTGGTTGGCCACTGAGAGAACAGGATGCAGGACAAGATGGGTCATTGGCCTCACCCAGCAAACTCTTCTTACATTCTTATTCTACATCTATAGGCTTATCTTGGGTCTTTCAAGCATTGTCCCATGGCAGTGGACTAGCAAACAACAGAATGCTTGCTTAAACTCTGTAGAATAGGGAATGGGGGAATGTGGAACCTATGGTCCTCTAGATGCTGTTGAACAACAACTCCCCTCATTCTTGACCACTGGCTATGCTGGCTAGACCTGGTAGTAGTATAGTCCAACAACATCTGGGGGCACCACACTGGCTACCACTACTCAACACGGGGTTTCAATACTTCCAGGTGAGCAGCTCAACACAATCAAAAGCTAGCATTTGAAGCAGTGACAGGTTCATCTGATTAGGAGTTGTGGCCACACAACACAGTTAGAGGTGGGAAGAGGAATCTGGCCACAGAGATAGTTTTATTTCTTTAATGAATTAATCCAACAAGATTTATATACAATTTAATCATCAAGCAGGCTACATAAACTACTGTAATGGGAGTTGTCTATCTGCATGAATTCCTTGTTCCTTGCATAGTAAAGAGATGACCCTATTACATACAACCAGCTAAAGGGAAGGAGTTTATGGATATTGGAAGGGAACAGTCACACACACACACACACACACACACACACACGACCAGGAGCTGCTCTTTTATTCTTAATACTTAGTGGAAACAAAACTGCCTCAGGAACGGCCTCCAGCCAAAGCAGAGCAATGCAGTCACATCTCTGTTCCATCAAACCCAGGACTTCCAGGCTCTGCATGGCCAAGTGGGCTCATCCCTGCTTCTCCCAGTGGCAGACCATCCCCGCCCATCACCCGCAACCCCACAGCTGCAGGACACACACCAGTTGGGATTCCTAGCAGAAAGCAGCCTCCTCCTCCTCCTCTCCCCAGAGGTGAGAGAGGCCAGTGTGATAATCCTTTCCTCTCCCACAGCAGTATCCCTCTTCCCTGCTGGGGTCCACAACAAGGAAGCTTTGCAGGAGGACAGACAGCCTTTATGCTTTTTAAGGTAGCCTTCAACTCCTGCTGTTCAAACCACTCCTCCACCCTTGCACATCCAAGACCCTAATCTCATTTGTGTGGAGGTGCCAGCTGTCCCTTCTTGAAAAATGGTGGAAGGGGGAGAGAAGTGAAGGTGAGAAAAAACAGATCCTGTTTTTGTCAATAGAATGCCATCTAGTCCCTAGTAAATTTACTTCCCTGCTAGTGAGCTGCAAATGAGCCACAGGGATGGGCTGTGGAGGAGTCCTCCTGAAGCAGAACCTCCTTTGACCAACTCCAATCGCTCTAAAGCATTAACTCCTTTCAATTACAACATAATATCTGTCCCCAAAGAGCTCCGCTTCACCTGGTTTATTAACAGCTTTGAGGTACCTCTGGCTTCACCTTCTCTTTCTTCTTTTAATCTATTATTATTTTCTTAGCTTTTATCTTTAGAAATTGTGTTTTTTTAAAAAACTTTTCCGAAGGATGATGATGATGATTACTATTAAACTGCAGTGGTGGTGGTAGAGGGCATTGTTGCTGAAAAAGAGTCCAAAAAAGTAAGGTTAAAAAAAAGGTAAAGGACCCCTGGACGGTTAAGTCCAGTCAAAGGTGACTATGGGGTTGCGACGCTCATCTTGCTTTCAGGCCGAGGGAACCGGTGTTTGTCCACAGACAGCTTTCCGGCCAGCATGACTAAACTGCTTCTGGTGCAACAGAACACCGTGATGGAAACCAGAGTGCACAAAAACGCCATTTACCTTCCTGCCGCAGCAGTACCTATTTATCTCCTTGCACTGGCGGGCTTTCAAACTGCTAGGTTGGCAAGAGATGGGACAGAGCAACGGGAGCTCACCCCATTCTGCAGATTCGAACCGCTGACCTTCTGATCAGCAAGCCCAAGAGGCTCAGTGGATTAGACCACAGCGCCACCCGCATCCTCAGTCCAAAAAGTATTTGCCTGTGAATCAATAGTCTATTGGTGAGGTGAAAAGGACAGCATGTTTATAAAGCTCACATATTTGCATGTGCCTTGGTCTTCATATGTATGTATGAAATAAATATAAATAAAAACTGCATCACCAAGTGATTATATGGTGGGCCACTTTATCTTGCTCTGGCTGAATGCTTCTTACATCAGGACTTTCCACAAGCAGCCATGCCCAGGCGCCATTCACATGTTCCTTTTCGTGTTCAGGAACAACTTCAGAATTTGCTCTATCACTTCTGGGAGCATCCACATTCAGAGTTCCTTTGAGATCTGTTGTCTCCTGTTTTTCCTCACTTAGTTCCTCAGTGCCAGTCCCCTGGCCCCTCTGAGAGAGTAGGGGAAACAGTGCTGCATTTGAAAAGAGGCATGCTGCTAGCCAACTATTTATGTTCAAGAGAACAGCAGCAATTACTCCTCAACTCCAAAACAGTCTGCCCTGCCTCTTTAACGCTAGTTCCCCAGGGATGCTTGGAACTGCAGCTATCAAATTTAACATCAACCTCCAATGGGAAAATTGGTAAGAGTATTTTGTCACAGAAGATCCAACAATAAAGTATTAAATTTAACTGAACCACCACTGGTTATGCCGTGCTAGTTTCGTTCCAACAGAAAACAAATCCAGTGGTAAATCACACACAGCGCCTAGGTGTTGACCAGCCCGCCTACAGCAAATCCTGTTTTGGATCTGGCTTGGCAGCACACACCATAAGGGGCTTTTTGTGTGTGGCACAGCTGGGAATGCCTGAGGCACAACCCACAACCCCCTCCACCCTATATTCACAAGTGTTCTGTACCCATTCAGTTCCACATTCCACTGCTTTACTTTGCAAATTATTCCGTCTCTCTGCTCGCAAGAGCCTGTTTGGCACTGTGGGATGGGCTTCCCAGAATGCACTGCAAAGGTGTGCAAGCAAACAAAGGAGAAGAGCACAGGCAACAGCTGGATTGCATGAGCTGACCTGAGGCAAGGATAAAACAAGAGGAAGCCACCAACATCCCAGCAGCCTTGTCCTTGCCGAGGGTAAGCCCACCTTCTGCACAAAAGATCCTGTTCTCCAATAAAGGGGGAGAATAATGCATCCCAAATTAAATACAGCTGGGCATAAAACTTGTGGGGAAGAGTCTGTCCTCTGTCCCCAGAGGGCAGCTTCAGGCTTTGATTATTTATTGAAGGTCTGTACCTTTACATGCATGGATGAGAACACATATCTGTTTCCTAGAGAAGATGGGTACTCAGTGACACTGTTGTTCCAAATGCAGTGTGCAAGGTTCTGTGTACACACCATACATTTAAAGCACATGACTTCCCGCAAAGAATCCTGGGAAGTGTAGTTTGTTAAGGATGCTGGGAACTGTAGGGTAAATTATAGTCTTGAGGATTTTTTTTGGGGGGGGAGCCATGTGCTTTAAACGTATGACATGTACACAGCCTTACTCAACAGCTCTCCTCAGGCTGGATCTATGTTCCAGGTTGGACAGTACTCTCATGGCTCAGGACATATATATGTTTTTTCTTACACTGTGCACATGCATTTTGAGACATGGTACTGTGGACCATTGCTTGGAAAATGAAGTTGGAAGTGGCCCAAAGCTTCAGCTTCATGTCCACAAACACAAAGCAAACCCCAAGCAAAATGGCTGAACTTGAAGTACTTCTGACACAGGCCAGGTTTGCCACCAAACAGGTGGACTTTTAGGCAGTACTCAGAAAGAGACTCTTTGGTTACAACTGCACCTAAGCCAAGTATGTTTTAGGGGAGTTTTGTGACACCGTTCAGCATTGTCAACTACACACCAACAGATGCTGCTCGTATGATGGGCCACAGGCATCAAACATCTCCTTCAACACAGGCTTCAGAACTTGTATTAAGCTTGCATTTTAAATTGTTAAAATGGGACCTTAAGGTAAAGGGTGAGAAATATATCAAAATAACAAAAAAAAATCAACTCGCAATGCTTCTATCCATTGTCGTGGAGCTCTGGTCACAGCCCACCTGGCTGGTACCTTCCATCGGCTGATACAATGAGCAATGGACTCCCCTCATTTATATCAATGATCAGCGGGCTAATGATATCTTATTGGTGCTACTTGCTATATGTAGTTATTCCTACATTTCTATCCATTATTCTCTCTTCTTCTCATTTCAGCCTCACAACAACCCTGCAAGGTAGATTAGGCGGAGAGACAGTAACCACTACACAACAGCCACACTTACAAATGGCCAAACATTTGCAAGTCCTATCTTGGCTTCTTTGCTCCCGGGTTTCACAGAGGAGGAAAGAGTGGAACTGCATTGAGTAGCGCCACACGGACGACTGCAGATACAGCACAAATGTCTGAAGCGCAGGGAGGGGGACCTTTTCCAACCCGAAGATTGAATTCCTTTCTTGGCAGTCTTCCAAAGGGTGGGTGGAGTCAGAGGCAAAATAGGGTAGAGTAGTGGATGCAAATATTATCTTTGCACAGCAGCTTAATTTCTATACGTACTCTTACATCCCTTTCTATCATGCATCCAGGCAAGCAAGAGCCATTACCAGAGTTCAATAACACTTTCCAGGCAGGCAAAAAAACACTCAAGGAGGGTGCAACTTGGAGAGAGTAAAGGAAAAGACAAGCCTAAAGGGTTGCATTTTAACCCCAGGGCAAAAGGTTCCCCAGCCCTGCTGTACAGAGTACTCAGTCAATGTTTCATATTCTGGGAAAGCCTTCATACAATTATATGCATAAGGCCCACTCCCTACAGATGTCTGTGCTGCACATGTAGTCACTAGGGAAGGTGTGTGTGTGGCACTAGGGGTGTGGCCCACTCCTGGTTCCTATATTCTCAGAGCATGGGATTGAACAATGTATCTCCGTGCGCACGTGCACACACACACAAATTGCATCTGAAACTTTTTACTGTACTTGTTAGAACACAAAAAAGTTTCTATAACTCCAGTTGCATTAGTGGCCTGATCCACACATAATATTTAAACCATGGTTAGCAAAAACAAAGCCTTTGAGTCCCTCACCAAAGGCTCCTGGGGCCTCTTAAGGAATATTAACTGGTTGAGCAGGAAACAGAGTGAAATTAAATAGACATGGATAGAAGAAATGGGTTCACCGAGGATCTGTCCTGGGACCAGTTTTTAACTTTTCCAGAAGTGGGTTAGTGATGAACTGTGAGGTAGCCAGGTTTGCAGATTACTGTGGGTGGTGGAAACCCAAGCAGACTGGGAAGAGCTCCAAAAGGGCAACTCCATACTGAGTGAATACACAACAAAATGGCAAATGTTGTTCAAGTATAAAGTGGTGCACACTTAAAAAAAACACACAAAACCTTAATTACACATATACACTAATGGGATCTGAACCTGAAGTGACTAACCAGGAAAGAGAATTGGTGTCACAATGAACAGGCTCAGTGAAAATGCTAACCCAGCATAGGGATCAAAAATGAAGTTGCCAGTATAGTAATATTCTTATACAAACCTTTGGTGCAGCCACACTTGGAATACTATCTACAGTTCCGCTCACTGCACTAAGAAAGGGTATTAGAGAGCTGGAAAAGGTGAAGAGGAAAGCAACCAAAGTGATCAGGGCACTGAAACAGCTTCCCTTCAAGGCAAGGCTAAAGCATTAAGAAGTTTTAATTTTTGAAAAAGTGCAAAAGGGGTTTGTGTCATGAGAACGGTTTGTAAAAATTATCTGCTTCCTCTGCTAAAAGACATGTTTTTCTCCCTTCCTAATAATACTAGAACTCAAGAGTCAAGCAATGAAACTG